TTATAATAATTATTACTCTCTCTCTCTCTCTCTCTCTCTCTCTCTCTCTAATTATTTTGTATATAAAAACATTAAACTAATTTTATCCGCGCTTAAACGAGATTTTAAAGCTTGAAGTAACAATTCAAAAATAAAATTATTATCTGGATTTTCTTTAATATACGATCGAAAAATATCACCTCAACCAGGAATCGAACTTGTTTTCTCCGCACCATGAAAGGGAAACATTAAAAAATTAAACAAAAATTTGTTTAATTTTAAATAAGAATTATTTATGTGAATTGTAACATCTAACGTAACAGCCACTGACAGATTGAGTTGTCAAAATATTCTTGGGGATTAAATATGCAGCAAATTATATAAATTTGATCATTTCCCATTATACGACAATGACGTCAGATTCGTTTCTCGGAGGCGCGTATTTCTCCCTCTCCGTACATGGGCGCGAGTTTCTCATTGTCGAGGACGAGGCTTCAGCAGCCCCGAGTTTCCACTGGCTGTCCGAAGTGGACATTTATTGAACCTGCGATGTTTATAAAGCTCCCTCCGCCCTGCCACCTCGCCGCATGATAAAGTTCAGAAATAACGAGTTCTATCTTCTGTCCGTCATGCGATCGTGTACCGTGCATACCGTAAGCCGCAGCGTGCCACGTGCAAGGTGCGTTTTTAAGTGATAAAATCCCTGCATCGAGAAAAAAGATAGTTCTCGCTTATTTCCGAAATGAAATGAACATGAAATAAGCAAAGTTAATAACTCGCGAGAGAGAAGAAGCGAAACATATCTTTTGTAAACTAATGAGGAAATTGAGGAAATAATGATTAGTTTATATTTTTCTAAAAATTCTTCAGTTTAAATTAAATTTAGAAAAATATAAATTATTCTGTCTTTTTTTTATTAAAATCAATTAATAACATTCAATGTTCTTTTAATATAGTCTTCTATCTATTACGATCGATAGAAACTTCCGATTTAACAACAAAAGAGAATTGTATGTTTCCATTTCTATTCATCAAACCTGTTTCTAAAAATATACCCGACTGAATTCCGAATTATGAATTATTATTACGAATATTCAGTTAATGATTTAACAAGCAGCGCGATGGAAATCGCGGTGGACATGTCCACCTAGTAAGAGCAATTCTTTTCAGATCGCCCAAGAGTGGCCTGCGCAGCAGCAGGTTCGACCCCATGAAGACCGACGTAGTGATGCCCGAAAGTAAGTCTGGCCTTGACCCGATTGTTGATTGACGTCGATTTCTTGATGACCTACGAATTAATTATCGCTGCGAATTAATTTCCAGTGCTGGCGTCCGTCGTGCCACCGTCGGAGACCTTCAATCCTTCCACCGATAGTTTGCACGCGGCCATGAGACCGATCATCATGTTGGCTCAATGCTTCTCCATGCTTCCGGTGTGCGGTGTCAATAAGCCGGATGCTTCGTACCTTCGGTAGGCGGAAATGAGACACACTGCGAATTGCTTGTTTCGAATCGACGCTTTTTTTCCAATTTTTCTCCCGTCCTCGACTGAAACTTTCATAAGTCTCGAATATCTCACAGATTTACATGGCGCAGCCCGAAAATCTTGTACACGGCGATTGTTATCCTGACGGTGTTTGTTATGTCAGTCGGCAACGTTCTACGTTTGCTCACCACGGGGATAAATTCTGTGAAAATGAGTGAGTCAGTTTGAATAGGCATAATCCCTTTGGATTTAACCCTTACAGAAATCTAATTTAATATTGGCTAATTTAATACCAGAAATCATTTATTTTAAGTATTAAAAGCACTAAGTACTTTTAATATTCGAAATAAATAATTAATCAATACCTCCCAGTATTAAATTTCTATAAGGGAAGTGTCTATTGTTTCTAAGGTACGATTATTTCAAATATTAGCGACATTCGTCTTCTACGCCACGGCTGTGGTGACTGCCGTCATGTTTGTACGATTAGCGATGCAGTGGCCTTGCCTAGCGTTAACTTGGGAGAAATTGGAACGCGAATTTACCTCCAGGCATCGGCGAATTTCAAAGACCACTCTCGCAACTCGTTTCAAAATTGTAACCACCGTCGTTATGTTGTTCGCATTAGGTAAGTACTGTAAAAGAAATAAAAGATAAAATATGTAGGCAGATGTTATTAATAAAATTTTAATTAAATTAACTTCTTTGTTAGAAATAAATAAAATACGGAAGGAACAGAATTTTTACCGAATTACTTGAAAATTTTATCAGATCTGGAAATAATTCTGTTGCGCCATTAAAATAATATAAAATGCACTTAAGCATGACGGCATTGTGAAAATTTTTTTATAATATTTAATAATCAATTTGACTTATTATTCTGACAGTTCCATTAATTATTCTGACACCAATTACGTTAATAGTTCGACAAAATTATTTTCAAATCTATTTCTGGCTAAATTGTTAGACATTTCAATAGTAAATTCTATTCATTTTCATTTAGTTACTCCAAGTACTTTTATTTTCAACGTTGAAATTGTACGTCAGTTAACGTACACATAAAATTGCGCAATATGCACAACGAATGTCATGAATTTATATTAAACATTTCCATATAGTGGAACACACTGCCGCAGTAGCTTCCGCGTACATCAGCGCGGTGGAGTGCGCCGAGTATCGCGGTGAAACGGATATTGTCGGTACTTATTTCCAAACGCAATTCCCTCAGGTAGTACAGCGAAACAATTACACTGTCGTAATTTTATCGTAATATTATCTTAGAGTCAAATTTATTTTCAGATAGTAGCTTTATCTCCTTTCTCTTCTGTAAAGGAATAAATTTCTGAGGAATAAATTCCTTAAAAAAGATAGATAGAAAAAAAATTGAGATCCCAATTATGTCCCGTTGCATTGATGTGTAATAATTATTGAATAATTTTATACAGGTCTTCACGAAAATGTCCTACAGCCTGTGGAAGGGAATCATGGTTGATACTATAAATATTCTCAGCACATTTTCGTGGAACTTTGTCGATCTGTTTCTTATTCTTATCAGCATAGCTTTGACGGATCAGTTCAAGTCTTTAAACAGTCGCCTCTATTCGATACGAGGGAAGGTATAAAGTATATGCTATATAAATATCATAAAACTTCTCTTGTAAATACATTAATAATTTAATTATCAAAATTATATCTATATGTCTCTTGTCTTGTCATATATTTTAATTGTGAATCTCTTGTTTGCAACACTACGTATCCATATGAGAGAAATAACATCATCGCTATCATCTCGTTAAGGCAATGCCGGAATGGTGGTGGGCTGAAGCCAGGAATGACTATAATCATTTGGCAACTCTAACACGCAGGGTGGACTCTTACATCTCGAGCATCGTGCTTCTGTCTTTTGCTACCGACTTGTATTTCATCTGCATCCAGTTGCTGTTTTCCTTCAAGTATCTTTCATATATATATATATATATATATCTAACATAGCGATTTAATTTTAACGAACAATTCATCATGTAAAAATAGATTTTCAATTTGTTTTTATATTATAATCATTCTTTGGCAAGATCTATGTGGAATCCCTTTAGAATCTACTAATATAACATTTTTTTTTATTTGTATCTAAACAAATATAATATTTAGACTTACATTTACAATCTTTTTCTGGCAATGGCTTTGCTCGGACGAAAAGTGCTTTTATAACGCAATAATTACATCATGAAAGTTTCTAGAGCAAGTAGATTGCGTAAAGTTGTGCACGCATTTTTTAAACAGCCCGATACGCGGTATCGTACGGAAGATCTACTTTTGCTTTTCCTTCGGCTTTCTGCTGGCGAGGACAACAGCCGTATCCTTGTACGCAGCTTCCGTTCACGACGAGTCTCGTTTGCCGGCACCGATTTTATACAGCGTCGCTGGTTCTAGTTACAACAACGAGGTTTGTCTCGAAATATTTTTACTACACAGTCTAGAACGATTAATCCCTCTATAAATGATAATCCGAGAGAACTCTTACTGAAAATCTTTTAGCATGCATCTTCTTCAAGTGTTAATAATAGAGACTTTTTACCGAGGAAAAAAGTTTTCTCTCTTGCGATCAACTTTGCGAGAGTTTGAAAGATTACACAATGTCAGTTATGAGAAAAAAAAATAACGAGATTGCTATTTATGTGTAGGAGTTAATTTTCTTGATCACTCTTTCGCGTACACACAAGTTCACACACAACAAGTTTGCACAATATTGCGCAGGTCTCGAGATTCTTGACGCAAGTAACGACAGATACTATCAGCTTGACAGGAATGAAATTCTTCTCCGTGACAAGGAGTCTTGTGTTAACGGTAAGTACGATAATTTAATACGGGCTTCTAAACTTAATTACATTAATCTATAAAAAAATTATTTTTTCTGAAATGGGAGCGGACATTTCGTAAAATTTTGACTGCTAGAAACGAATATGACCTTCAGATTTATGAATCTTGTTAAGATTTTAAAAATAATTGGTTATAAAGTTTGTGAAAGAACATATAAATTACATGAGATATTTTTTATTGCACATTTTATATTAGAAAAGATTGAACACTTGCAATTATTTATATCTGAAGAAGATTATGAATAAGTGTTTCGACAATTAATTACCATTCTATTGTTACTTTCGAAGTATTTGTTTATAGAGTCTTCATTATTTCAATACAAAATCAGTTAAAATTATATGCTATTTTATATATCTCCATATCCAAGATCAAAAATAAAAAAGTTTTTTATAGAGTTATTAATGTTATTTAAGTTAACTTATTACGCTTATTGTTAATTAGTATCGTATTTTCTTGATTATTTTTGCATCTTGATCATCTTACACTGAGACATGTTAATTTTTACATTTTATATCTTTACATTTTTTATCTTTTGGAAAAAAGTTTTAAAAATAATAACCTTAGATTTAATTTAATTAAATCATAAAAATTAAATTATTATTTTTTATTAATAGTTTTATATAAGTTTTATATAACATAAGTTATTAATATAATATCTAATATAAGTTATTATTAGTTATAATAGTTGTAATAAGTTTTATTTAATAAGCTTTATATAATCAGTCTTATATGATTATTAAAATATATGTCTAATGCATCTTGTCTAATTACGAATAATAATTTAGGTTGCTGGAACCATCGTGACTTATGAATTGGTTTTGGTACAGTTCAATTCCGTCCAGCAAGTGGACCAGGCAAACATTACGAATGCTTGCGAGGTGAGGTAGAGAATCTTCGAAAAAATTTTTAAGGATTTCGACCACCTATCTTTGCTTCTGTATCTACAAATTATACAAGTTTCGAAAAATGTCGTGCAATAGTATATTTTTTATGGAATAGTGTAAATACAATTCTCTACCGCGTTCTTCTTGTATCTTACTAATTTTTTTCTCCATTTATTTATTCTGGCTCTTTGATATTTTTAATAACTAATTCAAGAAAATTAATTCATTGGTTCACTATTCTGCGAACAGTGGATCGCGCTCTTGCTAAATCTTATGCCTCGTATGTTAAAAATTTCTATTGTTCAATAGCTGCTGCGACATAACTCCATAACTCCTATTCACTTTAAAATTTACTGATCCGTTTCATTTACATATTTCTATACGGCTATTCTACATCTATATCTATATCAGCAATATTCTAATTACAAAATGCACAATTCTATTTATAATAAATGTTATCATTAAATAAATTTTAAATTGCATTATATATATTGTTATATTTTATTATGGCAACTTTCTGACTTCTCCCCTCTTTTGCAACCAATTTCCTTAAACTTACTTTTTATATGATATTTTATATCTTCCTCTTTTACATTATTATATTTCAGCTTTTATATTATATGTTATAATATTTTACATATAGGTACAATAAAATTTTCGCTGGATTCCAGTCTTCTGTTTTCATATTACTTGTGGCAATTTTTCTGCAATTTTACTTAAGATAAGTATGC